TATGTTAAAAGTAAGCCAAGTTAATTATATTAATTTCCGCCCGGCCGGGTTTCTAAATAGTATTAAATCCGAATTTCCAAATGAAAATAATAGGCATCGATTTATTGGGCCCTTTCCCAAAAAAGTCAGTTAAATAAAAGTCGCTATCTCCTTGTTATAGTTGATCATTTTAGTAAATGGACCGAAATTGTTCCCTTAAAACGAGCCTCCGCGAAATTAGTTACTGATTCTATTTTAAATAAATATATTTTAAAATACGGGGCGCCCCTAAAAGTTATATCGGATAATGGTCCTCAATTTGTAAGTAATATATTTGAAGACATGTGAAAAAAACTGGGCATACGTCATTTAAAAATGGTCCCGTATCGGCCGCAATCAAATATAGCGGAACGGGTCAACAGAAATATAGTGAAAATTATCCGTAGTTATGTTAAAAATTTTCATAAAAGCTGGGATAACTATGTCAATGAATTTGCTTTCGCCCTTAGGACCGCAAAACATGATACAACGGGCAAAACTCCTGCTGAGTTATTTCTAGGCAGAAAGGTTATAACACCGTTAGATAAACTATTTTATGTGCAACAAAGAGCCCCAGAATTTAAAATGGGTGATATAGAAAAACTAATAAAAAGAAGCAAAAAAAAGAATACTGAAGTAGCACAGAGAAAAAACAAAAATTGTATTATGACTTGAAACGACGGGGAGTAACTTATAAAGTAGGGGATGAAGTACTAAAAAAATTAAGCATTCACTTTCTTCAGCACCCCAGAAGATAAAACTGCCAAATTTTTTCCACGCTTTGAAGGACCATATGTTATAGAAAAAATAACTCACGATGTTGTAGTGTTAAAAGGCAAGAAATGGTGAAAAAACCTGTTCCGCAAACATTGATCCAAATTAAAACCCTACTTCTATGATCGTAATAAAAATGCAAAATCTTTTCAGATCTTTTGCAGGATCCGGTACGGCAGACACCGCAGGTACAAGTTCCAGAGGTGGGAAAAACGACAAGTACAAGGGCAAGCCAATGAGAGACAGAAGCAAGTGAAAAGAAAATTGCCCCGCGGAAAAAAAATTGAAGGTAAAAGAAAAAAGAAAAAAAGAAGCCGTTCCACCGTCCAGAAAACAGAGTTCACGAACACCCCCAGAATGAAGAAGGGAGAAGGACGACGTATGTGAAAGAGACCGGGAGAAAGGGACGGCAACTATTAACCCGGCTCTTTAAAACGGAAGATCGACTCATCCGACAGAACTCTCCGCAGCAAAAAGTCGCCGAACTGCGGAAGGGCCATCAGCGGCGGAGGAAAAAAGTACAAGAAAAATTTGAACGGCCAACAACGAGGTCCAAGCAGGAACACGACAGAAGTTTCCCGGTTCCGCCACGACCAGCGGCCTTCAAACGGCCAAGACCACAAGCAGAGGACAGAAGGAAGATGTTTCAAGGGTGACCGTAACTGGTGAAAAAACGGAAAGCTTCCAGAGGAAGGAGCACTGAAGGGCGAGCCCGTACAAGAAGGAGGATCAAATCAAACACGACGGTCTGCAGCTACCTTCCAGACTGGGCCCAGAAAAGGAATGTCCGAATATCACAAAGATAAGTAAAATTTTATGTTACTTTGCAAACTTAAGTTAATCTTTCATTCTTACTGCAAGTGGCAGATTTCAAGAAGTTTTACCTCATGCGAGGTCTACCTTTATCGCCAAAAGGGCGAGAAATGTGTTGTGACCGATTTTCTTATTATGTTTTTCAATTACTCGCGCGTAAAACTAAAGTTGATGTATAATAGCGTTGTGTAAAGACTTAAATATTGTAAAAAGTTATTGTATAAATTTTATTTAAAACATTCTAACAAGAAAGAAGTTTTAGTCTGAAAGACTTTTTGAAATGTAGTATTATTTCAATGTAGAAAGAATTGGCACTTGCTTTGAAAAGAATAGAAGTTAACAATGTACTACTAATGTATGTTTTCAAATGTGTAAAATTAACGGCATCTTGATATGTTCTTGTATACATGTGAACTGTTATTTTGAATGTTTAGAAATAACGTGATATGGTAAAAGTGAAAGTAATGTTAAAAAATTTGTTATTCGTGTGACTGTAAAAGACTAAATCATGCTGAATATGTGTTAAAGGTTGAATGATGTAGTTAGGCTCTCTGACGCTACACTTTAGAGTTAGCCACTTTCAGAATAGTACCTCAGGGTCTAGAGTTGAAATTAGGGTGTGTTAAGAGGTCTCGTATGTTGAATTTTAACACGTTAGTGTTTTGATTGTAGGAGGAAGTGTTGAACACATAGACAGAAACACATTCGTGTTTGGTGTTTTTACAACACATGTCAGAGAGCACGGGGAGAGATAATTAAAATAGTCATGAATGAAATAAGAATGTTAAGAAAAGTATATTCTATATGTTATTCACAATGTCATTCTGTAACATTTCATTAAACTAGTTTTCCTTCCAGATCTCTGGAAGGAACCAGAATTGAATAAAGCTCCTGTTTTGATGCAGTACAGATGAAAAAGAAAAAAGATTGTTGTATATTCCGGGAGCTGCTATTGTAACAAATTTCTTTCTTTTAAATTTTTCTAGTTTCTAGCTAAGTTACGATTGTAAAAGTTTGGCCTCGCGTTAGTTTCTAGAGCTAAAAGTTTTCAACAAGGTCGTTTTAGACCTCAGTTTCAAACTAATTAACTCTGGCGGGAAGTATGTAAGGATCTTAAGTTTTACTAACGTTTATTTTATTTTAAATCTTTACTATCACTTCTTATTTTCTACTTCCGGCCAGAATTATAAGCGTGAAGGAGTTTATGCAAAGCCATTTCAGCGGCTTTCCAAAAGCATAATTTGAGTACAGTGTTATTTGCCTTTTGCATTCTCGGCGCTATGTTTAAGGTTCTAAATGAAAAAGTACATCAGACTATAAAGTATTTTTTTGTTAATTAGACAATTTTTAAGATTTTAAATCTTTAATTATCCTTTCCGTTAGCCCTCGCCAGGACGCAAATGAAGAGTATTCAAGGTGAGGATTTTGATTTTTTTCATATAGAGGTTTTGGCAGCGGAGTACTCAGTAAATGGTTTGGTGGCAGGACAAAAAACGGATGGGAGATCTGTAGACGCGTTCCCTGGGGTGCTATCCCTAAACTAGAGCGAACTCCACAAAGCCTAACTGTCATCTATATTGTGTTCAAAGCTCATGCCAATAACAGACAAAATTTTTCACTCCTTACCAAGATAAATTCATGAGTTTGTTCTGATTAGGTCAGACAATTTGGATTAGCCTGTAAGGATCTTAAGTTTTACTAACGTTTATTTTATTTTAAATCTTTACTATCACTTCTTATTTTCTACTTCCGGCCAGAATTATAAGCGTGAAGGAGTTTATGCAAAGTTGTCTGGCGAACGCCAAGTATTTAAGTGTGGCCTTTTTGCCAAGCAAAAGAGAGGAAGCCGTGAGTTCGAAGCAGGCCGCTTACCTTAGAAGTTACGCAGTTGCTACTTTGCCTTCCAGGCCAGAGGTTTTAATCCTCTTGATAAATTAAACGTATTGTAGTGTTCACAGTCTCTGTGCTACATACGCTTTCTGTTATTATAAGGCCAATCTTATTCTAAAGTTAAATTAGAGTTTAGTTTTATTTTGATATCTTTTAAGTTAGACCCCGAGTGGAGGGTCATTGTATTCCGAAGTACGGAAGTCATTGTATATAAAGAAAAATAAAGGGTTTTGTATACCCTTCGTCTGTATCCTGTCTACTTACTACAATTAGTGAACATAGCTTTAGTAAGCTCTCTGTTCTAGTCAGGTCATTGTATGTTTCCCGAAGAAGGTTAGAAGAAACATTGAACCTGATAAGCCACAACAACAATCCTACTAAATCAGAGAAAAATGAAGTTCGTTTATGAACACTTGATTTGAAATATGCATAATGTGTCATCAGTTTCAAAAGAAGCAGTAGCAAGTCGCACTTGTATGCTTCTGTTGACGTTGTAAATGAAATTGGATTATAAAATTTTAAGCTAATATTTAAAATCTGAGTTCGAATTACTTTGTGAAGAGTGAAACTTATTGTAAAATTCAAGTTGAGATATGGAGATTAATTTAATAAAAAAACAAGTATTATATTATGCAACAAAAGTTTTGCTGTTACGTTCAAAGGTTGTGCGAATGTAGATTTTAGAATAAATATTTTTGCAAAAGATATTTCTAAAAAGACAAGCATAACAACAATAATAATAAATCTGAAAGATTCATATTTAACGTCTCACCAGAGAGTTACTTGAAGTTATTTATGATCTCGTTGAGATCGCAGTTTATTTATCTGCTCTTAAACTCACTCTTGCGAGCACAACATTTTTTGTCTTTTCAACTTTATTATCAAACATCACTTTCTTTGCACTTATCCCGCATAAAATTAAACAGCAAAATCACGAAAGTTTTAAAAACAGAATATCTTTAAAATTCCTGATACAGTGTTAAGTGTAGCCGTAAATCTTTTTACCCAGAAATGCTATTTTTCTCAAACTTAACTTTTGCCTCGAATCACTTTTGTTTTCCATGTCACGTTTTAAATAACTAGCCGTTATTTCGGTGCAAGCTGACAGGCAGATTAAATTTTAAAGAAGAATTAAATATCTTACATTTTCCAAATGGCAACAATCTTAAGTGTGGAAGTTAAAAATATTTATATCCAATATCTTTAGAATTTTGGATTAAGGTGTTTAATGTTGCCATGTATTTTTATATTCACTACATTATTTTTTAAAAATAATACATGATGATAGTATTTAGTCGCAACATCCTTTTATTTGTGCTACCATACAGTTTTTTTTATACTCACTATATTATTTCTTTAAAAATCATGCATAAGCAATTACATTTGGTGGCAACATTTGAAAAGTGCTGCGGGCACCAAACAAAAAAGGGAGTTTTAAGATTAAATTAACAAGAAAACATTTCTGGCTGAAACTGAATTTTTATGATTGAATTCTGCATACTTACGAGGATAGAAGAAAGCTCCTTCATCTTTGTTGACACCAGCCATTAAAGGAATTCTGCGAAAGTTGCCTTCATTTAATAAATTAATAGGCAGATCTGGCAAAAATTTATTTTCTCCCGATTTTTCTACTACAGGAACAGATCGAAGTGGGTAATCTCCAAATATCTAAACAAAAGAATAATATATAAGAACACTTTAGTATTAAATAAAATATCATAGGAAACTTCCTGCAGATTTTTTTTTCATCTAATTATTTTTTTATAGGTAACATTAATTTTCGAAAACTGAAGCTTTACTGGTAAATATTTTTCAAAGTTTGTTAAAATAACGTTTGTCTTACGTGTTTGTTGTTGTTTTCATTTGTCTTATCGAATCAGAACAAGCCCACGAATCTTATCGTGGCAATGAGAACAAGACTGCGTCTGTCGTTGGCAAGAGCCTCGAGCTCCATACAGGTGGCAGTCTGACTTTGCTCAGTTCTCCACCCTTTTGCAGGACAGTACTCAGGAGATAGGTCCGTGGGTTTCCCTCCCCTTTTCCCTTACCATCAACCTGTCGAGAGAACTTTCTGCTCGCCGCATATTTTGAGTGCCATCATGCTGTACAAACATTATACATTCGAATTCGGGCCCTTCGGTACCGTAGTCAGCATCACTAACCACATTCTGATCTGGGCGGTACATGTTTTATCACACTTAATAAAATCATTCAAAATTTTACAAAATCATTGCACGTTTTTATTTCATTATTTTGCATTCCTACATATTTATTTAAAACACTGCGTGCTGTAATTTCTGCATATTATTTTAAATCACATTTTATTTAACTTTCTGTATACTTCTTTATTTTAAACTAGTAAGACCCCCATTCAAACCCGAAAAAGCAAACGTGTGAGACTTACTACGATATGAATTATATATTTTATTGTTCTATTTTACGACATATCTCGAAGTTTGCGCAACAATGAGCAGCAAAGTTAGCAAAATGAATTAACTCATGAAATTAATGAAAAACGTCACTATACGCAGTGTTTCGGTAAAACATTGTTAAACATTAATAAATATTTATCAGATGAGTGCATTCACGCCACACATATTTCTTTATCTTCCTTTTTTTTAATATAAGATTGTGCACAATTTTTACGTTTGGGTGCACATAAAATTATTTTATTAGGCTGATTTTTGTGAGGCTCTGAATGGATGACCGTTAGTATTTTGTGTGTAATTTCAGTCGATTCAGAGATTTAACCCAATTAAATCTTTAGATCAGTAATGGTGTCGAAGTTTAATAACAGACCTGCAAGATATATTAGAAGGCCACAGGACCAGATGATTTCTTTGTTCGGTTCAGAAGTATGCGCTGGTGAAGTTGTTTTGAATATTTTCAGTAGCCGTCTTTCAATGACTTCAGGAGGAGTATGATTGGTGTCAAGAGGGGGCATGATTAGAGCTTTGACTAGAATCGTTAGAAAAATTAATCAATAAGTTCAGAGCTAATATTCATTGCAAGTATTATAAGACATAGCTCACTAAATGAGTTTGGGGCATTAATCGGACACTTAAGATGCGTATACGGCTCGGACATGCTGTTTGCCTTCACTGCTTTAGCTTTCTTGAAACGAATCTGTGATATTTTTTCCTGTTTCAAGGAAACTTTGGACCGCATATTCGACACTAATGGTAATTTCACTCTTTTCTCCAAAATGATAAATTGTTTTTCGATTCCGAGCTCTAATAAAACAAATTTCATAAATTTTCACTGCAGTTTGCAGTTTATTTCTGGTGTAATTTTGCATCTAGGACTTACTTCAACCTTTTTGCTTAAGAGCTTTATTATTTTGTGGCGCTATTAATTCTGTATAATCCTTTGATTACGAATTAAAAAAAATTATCTCGTCTTCTATCCAAATGAACAAAATATGTCATAAATAAGGTAAATTTAGCATTTGGGATATTTTTGACAAATGGGTTTTAAGCCAAAGACTGGGACACATATGTTCCAGCCGTAGTTAATGGTGGGATACATATGTCCCACACGTAGCGATCGACTTACTATAAGCACACCTATTATTCTGAAAAACTTTATTATATGAAATAGATTTTAAATCGGATGGTACAGGGCATTCTTTGAGTAACCCAACATTACACATTGGTCAACACACATTTGTTCTTGTCTCTATGTTCATTTGTGTACAATGAGCACACAGTCGTCAAATCCAGATAAAATTCAGGAACGTGGTTCTGCTAAAAACTTTTCGGCTGCTCATTGAAAAAGACCAAATAATTTTCAACTATGTGTTTTATTATATTATTTTTACTGTATTATTTTATTGAATGTTTTGTTTTTGTTCCAATTTAGATTTTTCTTCCAACCAGACTTTTAATTACTAAATTTGGATTTAATTCTTTAGTTATATCTTGATTATTTAATTAATTTCGTAGCATGCCGCACGACTTTAGTAAATTAATAATATTAATTTTGAAAGTTTTGAACTCTCTATTTGTATATACAGAGAGTTTAGAATTTCCCTCTATGCGTGTTTAATAATTTACAAGAGAAGACTCAGATACTTGTAATAATGGCCGATAAAGCACTTTTCTCTTTATTCTTGAGAAGAACTTTCTTAAAATGAATTACCCATCATAATCGACGCCATAAACGCCTGTTATTGGAGAATTATATTGATACTGATAAAATTTTGAATTATGATTGAAACAGTAAAGAAGCTTATTAAGTTAACAGAATAAAAGTAACAGTGAAAATACAACACATTTAAAATGAAAGCCTGGGACATATGTGAAAAGTTTGTAGTTTACAGATGAATTAGTTTCAGTTTGTTTTATCCTACACCGTTAACATTTAAACTTCTAAAATTACAATTGGCTGAAGCCTTATGTAAGTTACCTGCATAAAGAACTTTATGTAAGGATAACGTGATGGATATTAATTTTGAAATCACGCAGTTTATAATAAAACAGTTACTCTTTCTAGGTCAGAGAGAAGGAAATATACAAATTAAAATACAGTAGGTGCCGCTTACTTTGATAACATTAACTGAATGATAACACTAAAGATATCTTTCAAAATACGAATAGAATTTAACAAATTTAATATAAATATCACTAGAAACAAATTAATAGGTACTTTCACATCATTTTAATTAGAAAATGAAAAAAAATGTTTATGAACTGTTCATATTGTTATTAATGCAAAAGTTCATTTATGAACTGTTCATAATATTTCTGTAAATTATTTGATAATTGCTTGATTGATGCTGTAGCGCTAATATTAATAGATCCGTCACTGTAAGAAACATGCCGATGTAATATTTTAAATTAAGCAAAAAAGAAACCTTAGTTTGTCGTAGATGTTTTTAACTTTTTTTTTAGGAGTTAGGAAAAAGAAAAAAACTCAACAGAATTTGTTTTGCTTCTGAAGAAGAGGGATCTGTGTTTAATCACACTTCAAAACCATAGCCTTATTCAAAATCTACTATTGCTTTTTTACCTAATTTTAAATAATCGCTGAATAAAATTGAAAGCATGCTGCTTGGTGACTTAGTCTCTTAGTTGTCGACATTTCTTTGTCACTTGGCAAATTTTTGTAATCTGCTTTTGCCTTATTTAGCAACTTTACTTCAATTAAAAATATTATATAATACTCTGATAATACTGACTGAAACGTTGATCACAATAAGCTGTGTAGTTTTTCACATTTCTGCATGCAGATGATCGGGACTTCGACAATTCGATAACAACATCCGAAAAATAACATTAACCGCGATCACATTAAGCAGCATCTATTGTAGAGGAGTAAGGAAATATTGAATATTAAAGTTAGAATTTTAATTTACAATAACAAACTCGACTTACGCTTAATTTCTCATAATATATGGAAGCACATAGATTCCTTGCATTGGCTGGACTTCGCTAGTTTGTGTACTCTTTATGTGGAGATATTTAGTCAATGAGACACAGGATGCTTTGGTACCCTTTCTTCTCAAGTGTAAAAAATTTGATTAGATTAGTCCTCCAAGAGACTGATTAGTAAGTTACTATGTGTCTATGTTCGAGTACATCTAAATCGAAAATATGTGTGCAGATCACTAACAAAGCGAAAGCAATGGTCTCGTATGAAGAAGTGAAAGATATTATTAAACACTAGACGTCATACATGCGTATCTTGCATTTTTTGGATTGTAAATGCGTGTTGTCAAGGTTCTGTTAGATTTATAAGAGGTCAATAGTATTATGCACAGATCATTGCACAGTCACGCAGTCACTTGCTGCATTATAAGTGTTCATAGTTGAGAGCGAAATGAATAATGTTTCAAGGTCAAAAAAATGTCGCCGACATTTATGTCTCACGTAAAGTTTAATGCTTCGCATATATTGCACATTTTTTCTCTTCAGATTTTATTGTTTTGTGTTCTTTTCAATCCGGGAAAAGTTCAAAACACGTTACAGTGCGCGTATTTTATCAAAAGTGATAGAACATTTAAGAATAAATGCTCCGATTTACCGATGTAGACGAATGAAAACTTCACAGATTTTCTTTGTTTAAAGATTTATTGTATTGTAATTAATATTCTTTCTTACTGCATCTATTCTTTTTTGTATGTTTTACTTTAATAGAATAACAAAGAGTGATTTTACAAACTTGGGTTCCTAAAGGAGTCTCAAAGACTTAAACTACTAAATGGTTGACCTTATAATATGTTCATAAATGTATCTAAGCTTAGATAACAATTAAGTGGCAGAGAAGTTTGGAGACAATTAATCAAAATACTGCGTTACACATATTAAACAAAATTCAATTCAGTGTTTAAAACTGCTATAAAACTGGTTTAGTTGCGTGAATTTCTTAGGCCCACATCACACACGCATTTGTTTCACATGAACATCTGTTTCGGACAATTTTTCTGCGTGGTTTATTATTGAAAGAAAGACGCGGGATTTTTGTCTTTTCTTTCGAAAAAATTTGCAATGTTGTTCGTTAACCAATCAGCTATCTGCTTCGAATGCTCTCAGCTTGTTTGTAATGGAGAACCAGTTTCCCCTTTACATGTTAGCCCCAACGTGATCTATGGTAGTTGGCTGTTGTGACAAAGTAGAAATATTGTTCCAAACAGCGTTTCTTCCGAAATAAACGGATGTGGAATAGCAGCCTTACAGTTGTAAACAGCTTTTCTTTCATTTTTAAGAGTTCGTTTTTTAAATCTTGATCTAATCTTGGACATGAGAAAACAGCAATGAAATATGTGTTTAAATCATTTATTATGACAGTCTGGCTGTAAATTACATCTGAATTTACCGTAATAATATGAAGGTTATAAGAAGGCGTTAGATGTATATAATGCGAGGGAGAGGATTATTTAATTTAGGCAAATCTATCTCTACTATGCGCCATCCAGTTTTTTCAAAGAGCTCGAGGAGACTGACCAAGATTTATAGCCCTATTTTCATATAACCACTAGATTTACATCTAACTGCCTCATTTCGCACGTAATCAGTGATTCTTAACCGATATTCAAACTCATGTCCTAATGGTAGAAAATGATACGGCAGTTACGATTATATACAATATTATTTTGTGCTATTCTATGACGACAATTCGAAAGCTGCGTCTTTTTTTTCTTTTTTTTAATAAAATGGATTGTGGGACCACACAAGGCGAATGGACAAAATCTGATAAAATTTTCAACTGCTGTTGGCAAAAACCTAAAGATAAGTGCCTTTTAGTCCACAGCAATGTCTTGGAAGCTCTGCTTCATCATACAGGACTTCAGGATCAAACAGGATGGTCTTCGATGGATAAATGCGAATTCTTATAAATGAAATCTTCTGATAAATTATGGTGTATTTTCCAGTTTTCTTGCAATGTGACAGCATACAAGAAGCTTCTGAAATGACCGTCGAAAATAAATTAGGAAGGAAATAAATTTACACTTTATATACTGCATCTCATGCTTAAAATATTATGTTTTATTTTGAAAAGCAGAAAGGGATAATTTATTCATTTGAGAGATTATTCGATTCTATTCTTTGACATTCTACTTCCGTAGCATCAATTTTGTAGAACTCTATACGTTTGGAAAAGCATAAAAACTGAGGGTGGCTGAGATATCTTCGACAACTTGGTCAGGGCGTTTGTTATTGAGTCAAGAGATGCGTACTTCATGGGAAGCTGAAGAAATATTTGGTATAGCATTTTGGGGAAATTAATATGAAATTAAAGTTTTAACTTATTTGTTTGGTTATTTTCTCTTTATAAATCCTGAATTACATAGCCTTACAGTTTAAACATATTTTATAGAATTTTCAACCGTCTCACCTTAATATCCTTTTGAGCTTTGAGTAGATCTAGAATAGGCTTCTGTCGTATGCAGTCAACTATAGCTGTGGATGAATCAATTGGACAATTCAGTCGCTGTGCCACCTCTCTTGCATAGCCATAAGAGTCTCCTTCCAAGGCCCAGTCGCAAAGAGCAGAACCACTCTGCATAATGGCACGATTGAAGAGCCCTGGATGATATAAAATGATAGAATGAGTTTAAATATTGTTCACCTAAACACAGAAATTATGTACAGTATGTCATAGTATTCCACTTTCAAATCTAAGCAAAAAGATGAGCAAACATGTCGCAGTAAACTTATTCAGTAACAATAGTAAAAAATACACTTAATAGGAATTTTAATGTCTTTATACAGTTTGAATCACATTTAAAATTATCCTTCAATTGTTCCTGAATTGTTTTTTAAATCTTCTTCTAATCTCCTCATTACTCTCATTATTCCTAAATACTAACGCGTACGCTTATGAACACAACAACTCATGTCCGCACAACAACTCATGTCCGCACAACAACATGTGTTGTGCGGGTAATTTCATATAAATGTCAAATAAAACGATCGAAACCAAATCATGAAAGGAAACATGTTGACATCGCACACACTCTTGTTTAAATGTAAAACGTAAATTTGAAAATGGTTAGATGCTAATCACTGTGTTACAGGAAACGAAAGCAATCAGTAGACTTGAAGTAGGTCTAGGCGTCATCAGAGAGATAATATCTCAAAAAGTGTGATTTTTTAAGACTTGGCGTCGCTCTTTAAGCATGGAAATTGTTAATCGTTTTGTCGGTCAGTGTCTTCCGGGGGGTAGCTGCAGCTTCTGACGACCATTATTTGTGACTGATGTCCCGTTAAATAGCTAAATGGTTTGAATCCACTCTCACCCACCCAAAGAAACCGCCCTATTGCTTAACGAAGGCTTTACAGTTATAACAAGTTCATTGCAATGTATCCTTTTTTGCTTTCTCCAGCGAACAAAGATTAAAAGATGTCTTCATCGTCAATGAAATGAGTGATCCTCAACTGGGTACTTTCACATTAAGTTTAAATAGCCATGCTGGTAAAATTTCATCTGGTGAGAATTTGGTGAACCAACCATATATCGCATATTCATGAAGAATACCGATTCAAAGCTAGAGATTTTCGTTTGGGGATTTTCGCTTTTAGGGGTTCTGTGGGCTCAAAACAGTGTTTTTACTGCTATGGTGCTGTACTTGTAGAACTATAAGAAAGCTGAATATCTATGAACTGCATGATAACTGAATATTCTTTCTCTTCGAGCAAATATTTTAACTATGAGCTTAGAATATTTGCTCAAAGGGATCTACGCATACTTGTCCTATTCGGTTACTACTGAACATACCTTTGATGGTCTTGGTGGATTCGCAAGTTGTGGCAAGTTGCTGCTTCTTCTTCAAAGCCTCCAGGAGCTTAAATAAGCCGTTTTACACCAGCAGCATTTTACTCTACAGGACTCAACTGATGCGTTTTAAACTTGTTGCATAGTTTAAACATCATTACCTAACTTGTAAATTATGTAATACGCCATTATGAATATTTATGTACAATGCTTATATGTTATTTTGTTTAAGTTTAATTTGATTTTAATAACTTTCCCCTCTGAACATCAATGTAAGTACCTTTAGACTTTCATCATTATAATATGATACCACTTTATTATACAGTATAAAAATCTGCTGATGTTTTTAAGAAGCACCAGTCCTCCATTAGCAGTTCAACCTTTATTGAAAATTTTTGTATCGACCCTCTTTCAGATATTTCCTTCTAACACATTCAGTGTTTATTTGTAGTGTTATTGTTTGTTAAGAGTTAAATATAACTACTCGGAAGAATTTTGTGCAATATATACCTTGGCTTTGTGGTGACAGAATGTGGAGAAAGACACTGGCTGCTCCAGCCCCTTGTCCAAAAAGCGTGATAGCATTCGGATCACCACCAAAGCGGTCGATGTTTTCTCGAACCCATCGTATCGCCAGTACCTGGTCTTTTAGACCCATATTGCCTGGACATGCACCATCTCCGGAACTCAGGAATCCTATACGAGAATATGCATTAGATTTTGTAATAAATTTTCGTAACAGGAAATTATATATTATTTAAAAATATAACTGATCTCTAATAATCTTTTTCATAACTTTTATCTGGCTTAAAAATAAACTGTTGATCATTTCCATGCAAGTAGAAAATAAAATGTATGGTTCCTACCGAATAGTCCTAATCTGTAATTGAAAGTGACAAGAATAACTCCTTTGTCCATAAGCTTTTCTGGACCGTATATGTTGGCCGATCCTTCCTCGAAATTCCCTCCATGGATAAAGATCATGACTGGATAAGTGACTGGTGAATATGCTCCCGTTGTCTGTTAAAAAGACAAAACATGTAAATAAAATAAATATAGTTTTAGAGACTAAATTCAATCTAAAACTACTAGAACGATACACAGACTGAGGACAAAGGTACACTGCCCCCCCCCCAAAAAAAAAAAAAAATGGGACAGTGCTATATCTCCCGTTCTACTGGGCCGATTGACAAAATTCAACCTGCGTTTTTCATGTCTCGAAAGCACGACTTAGGATATATATTAGATTTATATATAGCACTATTCTAACATAGGTATTTTGAAACAAAATCGGACTTTTTCTGAAATAACATACCAATTTTTTCCATATTTCGATTCTACGACTCAAATTATGCCAGAATACCAGTTTTGTAAAATCGTACGAGTAGTTTTTAAAATATAAGCTCTCAAAATTTTTAGCTCTCTCAATGTTAATGAATTTGGCAAATATTTATTAATATCCCTTTTTTTATTAAACTTTTTTGATTTTTTTCTCTCCATATTTCGAAATTTAGGTTCATTCCAAATAAAATTTACCCATTTTTTGTTGTTTTATTTTTAAAATTTATATTTTAAAATAATTTTTTATAAATTTTTCGAAAAAAATTTTGAATTATAACCTATAAAATTTTTACCATCATCTTAAGTAGGTGTATTTTTTAAGCATATCTGCAAAAAATTAGGCTTTTTTATTCAGAATTTTCTAAGATATACACGAATTTACATATTTTCTCGCGTTTTGAATTTGGCATCTTTTTTTTTGAGCGATAATAACGCCAAATGTGATCTATGGATTTTTGTTACACTGAATTGCCACAGCTATTTTTAACCTTAAATTCAAGTAAATTTTACGAAGAATTAATTATATGACATTTTTTCCCTCAATGATGCGTAAAAATATTTATTAATACTATATTTAAAGCTATTTTTTAAATTATATATGATATTATTCAAATCCTTCTAACTATTTTTTTTTAAATTTCTCTATACCTTAAAAAAATAAATAAATAAATAAAAATAAAAATAAAAATAAGAGTAAATTTTTGTATGAGTAAATTTTTACCTTCGGCGTTTTATCGTCTGCTGCTTTACTTCGTTTAAATCGAATTGTCTAAAACTGAGAATTTTTGTTTGATGTTTTTTAAAGCACAGTATATTTTTATAGAAACATAAGATTTAGAATAATCATTTTTATAAAAGTCAAATTATGATATAAACATACAACCCTCTAGAGACTGAATTAATGGAAGTTCGGTGGTTGTGTAGAAATGATCTGCAGCTACTTAATGGCTGGATAAGTCAGCAGATTCTGTAGACAAAAGAAAATTATATAAACGCACCCAACATTGGATTCAATTTAACAACGAGGATACGATGTTTATTAAATGAATTCAAGAAGTTTTAAAACATAAAAAATCAACTCATTTTTCTATCTTAAAATGTATTTTTTGTACGTAGCGTATTTCATTATATTCTTAAAATTTTAATTTAGAATGTAATTGTCAAGAACTGAATCCTAATCATTAGTAATATAATAGTAATTATTACGGTTATTAATAAATCCTTCTTATATATTGCAAATATTGCACACGATATTATTTATTTACACTTCAATTCTAACCGTCAGCTCTAGTAGAAGTTACAATCAATTATATTTAATTAAAGATTGGATTGGATGGGATTATTTAATTATGACAAATCACACGAGGCTATCCTGCCTAAAGGGAGGGATGCCTTCGTGGGAGGATTTTCTAAGAGAAGCTGGCTCGTATACATGTTACACAGGGGAAAATCACGAAAACACCATGCGGGCAGCCCGTTCGCGGGATTCGAACCTCGGACCGAACTACCAGTGTTCAGCGTCTTTACCGCTCGATCGCTGGTGGCTATTTAATAAGGAATAACCATCTAAGTTTTTAACAGCAATTCAATTATTGGCGCCGTATCTTTCATGTTACTCCCGATTGGCAAGCTACATGATTTTTAATGATATCGGGTTTTGCTAGTAACTTCCCTTGGAAATCGCGCTTAAACTAGGTTAGTTGGTTATTTGAACATAGAAAAAACATGGGAGCTATTTGTTTAGATGCTTTCATAGAGAACCTTTGTAAAGAGAACCTAAAAAACTACGAAAACGAACCATGCAGCCTGGGTTAGACTTCGCAACAAACAATTAGTATTGTTGCGTGCGTACGGATTCGTTACTAAATGAATGCACAAGTCCGATGAAAAATGAACAAAAATTTATTATTATCACAACAAAAATTTTTAAATTTTCTCAAATTATCACGCAGTATTACAATATCTCACAGTAGTTTTCTTTTAACTACTCAAATGTCCAATAGAACGTAATTCAAAACAGCTAAAGGAACGCTAATCCGCGAATTCGCTACAATCAACAACAGTAGTTTTTTAAAAACAACAACAAACTAAGCAACTACTACGAAACTGAGATGTTTTCCTCCTTTTATAACATTTTTAAAAATCACGCGCTAGAATTTTCCAGTACTTTCTCTCGAAATGAAAAAGAGTTATTTATTTATTTAATGCACGCGCTCTTGTATTTCAATTTTCCGTCTTAGCTTTCTTTTAATATTCGTCACGCGCTGCACTGCGCAGAAATAAAACCATTTAATTTGTAATTGAACTAATATTAGCTTTTTAAATACCAATTCGTACACTGTAACACTGCCCCCTTTCCAAGGACTGCACGTCCCGGGCATACAATCCCTGGACAGGAGCTAAACTTACAACTGTGGCATAAATGCAACTGAGGCATAAACAATTACATTACAATATCAAACAACATGAACAATAATGCAATAACTAACTTAAACAAATCAAATACTATCAAATACTAAATACAAAACAAATCAAATACACATTTAAAAACAAAAAGGACCATGGTTTTATACTATTTACAATTATTTACATTACGTACTATGCCATAGTAATGAGCTAATCTGTCGTAAAGTTCGAAGACTCACGGATCCGAACCACGACGTCATTCGTGTTCAGCATGTATATGGACCATCCGAAGGTGACTGTAATTTAGGACTCAGTCCTTTTCGTTTGAATTGGGTTCCACAACCACACCATGTCTCCTTTTGTTGGATCTCTGTCTAGTAGCCTTGTGTCGCATCTGGTCTTCATTTTTCTCCGTCGCCAAGGTTGACTCGCTTTCGTGCAGAACGGTGCATCCCCTCAAATCGGGCCTGGGCATCTTGGATGTTTCCTCAGGCGATGAAGGCCCATCCGTAGGGCGACGAACAGGCGGTCACAAGGCAGACGAAGGTCTCGACCGAGAGCTTCTGAGGATGGAGAATAGCTGGTAGTCTTAGTTTTCTTTTTCGACCCTGGATGATTTCGGCAGCTTCCCGAGCTCGATCTTTCGGACAAGGCGTCGACATTTCCAGGCGAGGATCCCTTTTGAGGATGGATAGTCCATGCCATCAGATGCTGAAAGCAGCTTATTGTTTTTTGAAATCTAAGGAAAAATTGTATTTCCTTAAAAAGTCTAATCCGAGTATGCATGGATCTGTAATAATCCGCCACATGCTGTGTGATGGTAGGCGGCACTTCCAAACGTGATGTTCGTTTACTTTTCCCGTCGATGGATCTTCTCACCGGACACAGTCTGGAGGGTAACGCAGGGCGGCGTCCACATAAGTTTGCTTCCCAGTTGTTGAGCCCAAATCTTTTCGGATGATAGTAACGTTGGCTCCTGTATCTATCGTCATATTACAGGGAATTCCATTATATGTCCTATTATGAAAAGTCCATTACTGCCGCTCTCACTGCAGAAATCTGAAGCGCTTTAAACTGGGGCTTTTCATTATCTGGCAACCTCCACCCCGCGAGATGGCCACTAATTAGTTTCCCTGCTGCTTGCTAGGAGCGGTCTTAACATCCGTGCCCTGGTGTGTTCTGCAGTTTCCGCCGTATGTGTCCTTCAGCTCCACAGTTCCAACATTTAAGGTCGGTTTCTTTTCACTGATATTTCTTCTTAAGTCATTGAGTTGTCTGGTTATATCGTCTAGACGACAGTAACTTGATCCCTTGGTTCCTGGACATTGAGCAGCTCTGATTGGGTGGCGGTCTCTACGAGTGGCTTGCTGGGCTGCCTCACATTTCATGGGAGTACAACAGAGCACTTTTTAAATCTTTAACATCCGCCATTTCGTAGAGCTTTCTGTATTTCAGGATCCCGGATGCCATCGATGAAATATTGCAGGGACAGTATTTCCCTTGTTTCTGTCGGACACTCCGAAACGGCGTGATGTGACAGCCTTTCAACATCCGTGGCGAGCTCCTGAAGTGTTTCGGTGAGCTTCTGTTGACGGGATTTTAATTGGAACCTGCTGTAGTCTTTTAAACATTTCTCGCCGAAGCGCAGCTCCAAAGCGCCGGATAGAGCTTCGAAATCTAGCCTTAGATTTTCGGGAAGCGTCTGCAGGATATCCGCTGCGTCTGCTCTCAGAGACGCGGCGAGATGACAGGCCTTAGCTTGGGAATCCCATCCATTCGCATCCGCCACGATAGAAAATTGTGTCTTATACACCTGCCAGGAGGTCTTCCCATCATATGTGGATAGCTTCAGAGGTGGACGAGCAGGCATTGGTAAGAATTTAAAATCATCACTCCTGCTCCCTGCCGACGCTACGAATTTCTTTAAAGTATCCATTTCTTTGGCAACTTCAGAAACTCTCTCATCAATTTGTTGTTCGATTTGGTGTTGGACGGCACAAACTCTTCCTTCATTCGTTCCTCCACAGCAGAAACTCTCCTTCTATATGGTCTTTTACAGAAGAAACTCTTTTCTTCTATTTCTTCTTTCACCGAAGAAACTCTTTCTTCAATTAGTCCAACTTTATTTTCAACTGTGTCAATTCTGCCTTCCATAGCTTCAAATTTTATTTCTATTATGCAGGTAATCTCTCTTTTCATTTTCTTCTTGACCTGCTTCAATCTTTTCTTGACCAGCTTGAACGGCTTTCATTTCGTCCTTAACAGAGTTGACG